ATCCATCCATCCATCCATCCATCCATCCATCCATCCATCCATCTATCTATCTATCTATCTATCTATCTGAGGAGCCAGAGAAACCATAGAGATCTGATGCAATAGTTCAGTCTCATAAGAAGATGTGAAGATATGCTAGCCGCAGCATGCTGGCAAATGTCTAATCGTTGTCTCTCCAGGGGCTGGCGGGAAAGCATTGATTGACAGCATCTGGCCTTCTCCACGGTTTATCATTGTACCTTGGCTAATTTCAAACTATTAACACGGTGTCATCGAGCCTGGGAAATTCCTAAAACTGTAGCACTCGGCTCTGAGTCAGGAGCGGAGGCTCTGAGTGGCAGCTAAAACCGAGAAAGTGTGTAGGAAGGTGAGATTGACTAGGATCTGGGAGAAACCAAACAGGAGGAGGGGGAGGAACTTCCCAGAGAGTAGAGCTAACGGGAGCTGCAGAGGTACTGGTAGGTTCCCACCAAACACAGAGGCGATGCCTACGGGGCTGTATCCCAGGGGATAACTATACTCTCGTGAACCCAGCTGTGCTCTTGGAAAACATCTATTTTCAAGTCCGTGCTACAAACCCCTCAGAACCCTGCCGCCTGGACTGCAACCGTGGTCCTCTAACTGGTCTTTCTGTCCTCTTTAGTCCTCCCTTCACTGAACCTCAAAGCAATTTCCTCCAAGGAGAAACCTGTTACCGGCATGTCCCTTCCCTTAAAGAATTATATACAGAAATTGGGCCCACCATCAGCCCCAGAAGCACTAAACCGATACATGTTTTAAATAGGATCTCACTATGGAGTCCAGGCTAGTCTCAAATTCTCAATCCTCCTGCCCCAGCGTTCCGAATTTTTTGACACAGTTGTACAATATCACACTATGTTTCCTTTTCAAGGGCTATTACGTTCTTCCTCTGCCTGCTCCCCCTGCTGGCAGTACTGACCCTTTGTCTGACCGTAAAGGACCACACCACACTAATTAAGGGTGAGAGCTAATTTAAAGATTATACCTCTTTGAAGCGAAACGGCCCTCAACGAAGAGCTTTGGTCTCAGTGCAAGCCACACGGGCTGCCTCTGAAGACAATCACCAGGACACAATGTGGAACTCTTGCCAGCTCCTAAGGATGTTTCTCTCCGCAAGTCCTTATGAGGCCAACGGTTTATTTCATGGAGAATGAGAATCCTGTCTTAATGGCCTCAGCATTGAGGAATGTAGGAGACGTAACTATTTTTAATTTTTACTTTAACCCTCAGGCCAAAGCCCAAGCCTTTGTGATTGATTTCTGACTTGAATCGTCTCGGTTTCCCTGTGGCGCGAAGAGGTGGAACCTACTCACCTCTTTGGGGAACGGGTTTTTTTTTTTTATTGAATACAAATATCTTCCACTATCTTAAGGCTTTAAAAACACCTATAAGTCATTCACATTTTATGCTATTCATTGGCGTAAGTAACTCTGGATGCTGTGTAAGCTGAGTTAGCGTAGTTCTTCCAGGGGTCTCAGGTCAGTTATTTCATTCATTTCTTTTATTCCTTCACTGATTTATGAGTTGTTCCAAATGCTCACTCATCCCGTTGTTCAGTCAGTGATAGACACTAACATCAAAGGTGACTATGACGTAGCCTTGTATGCTACTGGACACAGAGATCAGTAACAATAGTAATAGCTAGCATTTATTGATAATTCCTAGGCCAGGCATGCTTCTAAAGGATTCTTTATTGTCTAATTTAACACAACCCACATAGGAGAGGAGAGCTGTTAATAACTTACTAAATTTTTAAATGTGTAAATTTTGTGTGTGTGTGTGTGTGTGTGTGTGTAGTGTCTCTGTGTGTCTGTGGGTGTGTGTACTTGAGGGAAGTGTTTGATAATATCAGAGGTGTCAGATTCCCAGGAGCTGAAGTTAGGAGTGGTTGTGAGCTGCCAGATATGGGTCCTGGGAGCCAAGCTTGGGCCCTCTGCAAGAGTAGCGTGTGCTCTCAATTACTGATCCATCTCTTTAGCCCCATTTTAAAATGAGGAAACGGAGACTGGGGGCTTCTATATCTCTAGGTGTGCCCATTGCTCATCACAGATCCGGTCCAGAAATGCTAGAGTAGATGTGTCCCAGGGAGCCCCGAGGGATGAACACAGGGGAGGACAGCGGGGCTATCCCAGAGAAGAGACACCAGCTGAGCATCACAGCACCTGTGTGTGTCCACCTCGGATGAAGGAGGTGTATGTACATGTTGGAGGATGTTCTACATGGAAGAGACGTTACGATGCATGTAGCTAAGAATAACATGGCACAGAACAGTGCTTGGACTGATGGGCTACGTTCTCCCTAAATTCTCATGCTGAACTCTCCCTAGTGATATGTTAGGAGCTGGGGACACATTAGGTCACGAAGGTGGAGTCTCATCAAGGGGATTAGCACTCTTAGGAAAGGGACTTGGAGCACTTGCTAGCCCCCCTTCCTACTGGATGTAATGAACAAAAAGAACCTGACTGCTGATCCAGAATGTCATCAACGTTCACTACTGTTGTGCTTTTGTGTGGTTCAAGTGTGGAGTGGCTGTTTCCACGCTGCCTTTTCAGCATGTCTCCATCCGGCTCGGCTTCTTTTCATCCAAAATGAATTACGTCAGAGGAAGCTTCTCTCCTCTACCTATTGGCCCTAACTTCCTACTGTTACTAGTAAGTAGAATGGGAAGCCATACCCATCGCAAGAATGGCGCCATTTGCTCTTTTGGTTACAATAAAAATAGAGTTTAGGGGAAAAATGGAGCCAGCTCTTTATGGGAAGGTATAAGTGGCCTCTTGCTCTCTCATCAGGTAAGGAGACTGTGTTTGGAGTTCAGACTTCTCTAAGATGACCTGAACGGTGAGTGGCCAAGCCTACATTTGATCCCCTTCTTTCCAACTGGTAACCTCCTGTGGCCAATAGTAAAGTTTGAGATTCTGAGAAACTTGCCGTGTGGAGGCATATGTCTAACAAATCCTTTAATCCAGATCAACTATTGTATGTCACCCTAGGGCCAACGGCTTCTCCTTTTTCCAGCCCTGCCCAGCCAGACTTTCTATCTTGGCCTCTTTAAGGTGAAGATGACTTGTTTTCCTGGGAAGGAGGAGGGTTGGGACGGCTGACAAATGACATGCACAGTCCGAAAATTCATTGTAGTTCTGCCGAACACTCTAAACCCAAGTTATGCGGAAGTTTACACTGTTCAGTTATTCCATTTTCGTCTGTATATTTCTGTCTTTGTGAGATATTCTATTAGGAGGTCTACTCAGACATTCTGGCAGGGCAATAAATGAGCATGGTGGTTTATTTATATCTCACTTCCTTAGAGGAAGAGCTGGACCTATGTGTCCACACATGTCTTGGGGGCCCGTGTACCTCAGTGCATGGCTGTGGTTAGCTGGTGTGGGTTATTTCTGTGTCAGTCTCTGCCTAAGGAAAAATGAAGATATTTTCATTTGGTCCTCATCATAGTCCTGAGAGGAGATAAGTCCTCCCACTTTGTGGCTTAAGAACTGTCACTTCCCGGAGGTTAAGTACTGGAGTTGTGAGGTAAGCCCAGGAGCCCTGATACCCCAGCCTGGTACTCCATCCACATCTAGTGTATTTATCTACAGAGAGTGTAGTGATCATTAAATTTATCTGGGAAAACCCCTGCACACTGAAGACCCAATTTTAAAGGAATAAATCTCAAGAAAGCTGAGGTGACTGGCCCTGGAAGCAAAGAAACAGTTTCCTGATTGCCCGATTCAATGTAGCCATGTTTCTGAGGTCACAGGCCAGGCCCACCAGTCCTTCATCAAGCTGGTGGTGGTGAGAACTAAGTGGTAGAGAGATCATCTGAGGCGGGAAGGATGCGGATGCTAGCTTCTGCTCAATTCCTGGCGAAAACACATCAGCCACGCTTGTAACATGAGGGGCTGGCTTGTTGGGGTATCTGTCCCGCCCGGTACCCCACGCCAGCATGCCCCAAAGAGAAAATCAATCACACAGAGATCTCTATAAGTTATAAACTGATTGGCTCATTAGGTCAGGCTTCTTGTTAACTCTTATAACTTATATTATCCCATTATTCTCATCTATGTTAGCCATAATGGCTCCGTACCTTTCTCTGCTGGGCAAGTTACATGCTGCCTCTTCGGTGGTCTGTACAGGAATGGCTGAGAGAGAGCTTCTGCTTCCAGAATACTCCCAGTCTCTTTGCTCCACCCCTACTTCCTGTCTGGCTTTCCCGCCTATACTGCCTGCCTGGCCAATCAGCGTTTTATTAAAATATGATTGACAGAATACAGATAATTCTCCTGCACCACACGCTCAGGGTCTGCGCAGCTCTGTGGAGTAGACATCACTTCTGTGTGCACAAACACGTAATGCCCCTTTCCAGGGGCATGCACTGGGTAGGTACCAAACCCACAATTTAACTGTGAGTCTCTTTCTTTTTTTTTCTCTCTCTCCCTGATTCTCTTCTTTTCTTTCTTTCTTTCTTTCTTCCTTCCTTCTTTCTTTCCTTCCTTCCTTCCTTCCTTCCTCCCTTTCTCTTTCTTCCTTCCCTTCCTCCCTCCCTCCTTCCTTTCTCTTTCTCTCTCTCTCTCTTCCTTCCTTCCTTTCTATCTCTCTTTCTTCCTTTCTTTCTATCTCTCTTTTTTCTTCATTATTTCTTGAGACAGGGTCTTGTTAAGCCACCCTGGCTGCCTTGGAACTTGCTCTATAGACAAGGCTGGCCTCAAACTCACAGAGATATGTTTGCCTCCGACTACCGAGTGCTGGGATTAAAGGCGGATGCCACCATGCCCCACTAAACCTCAGGTCTTTTTAAACTCTCCTCATTATTCCCGTCCCACAATGAAAGTTGCCCCTGCTTTGGGAATTTACAAACAAATGTTTTCCCTCATGGTAAACCTCTTCTAAAACTTGGTATCCAGGAAATAACTTCTCACGCTTATTCACTTTTTCCAGTCTTATTCCATATCACCCACAATCACTGTCCCCGGAAGGCTGGAAGAGATACATTAGTGGTCTAACTACCTCAATCCCAACAGCCATTTGTTTCCCTAGGCACAGTGGTTTCCTTTTGGATTCCCTTAAATCCAAATATTGGGCCAAGTTCATGCTCAGAGCATTCTCCTCATCACCGGGAAGGAAATAACGATCGACACACTCATTGATTAAGCAGCTCTAGGGAACGCTGACTATGATCCTTGCTGCCGCTGCTTGTGATGGAGTGGTTATATAGGGCCGATTAAGAAACGTTTCCTCTCCTTCAAGGAACTTACCACATTGGCCGGCTCCCACTTTCGCCATCTGGGACAGACCTAGTGAGACGGCGGAGACTTACCGGGCTTGGCCTGGTGCGACCGTGCTGCAGTTTGCATTCTTATGACACGGGTTGTTTGATTCACAGACGTTGATCATACTGCACCCCACTCCGGGCACAAAGTCGCGGTAATGCTCTTTACACTCGCAGTGAGACTTTAAGAGGCGGGGAGAGAAGACCAAATCGGACCCCGGTTAGTTTCCTCAGCCGCTGTTCTTTAAGCTCTACGCAATATTCTCCCATAAAAGCTAACAGTAAACAGGACTGAAGTGTGAGCTTCCCCAAGACCTTGTCAAAGTTTCCCGAAATTTAAGTCATGGTTTTATAAATTTCCTGTTAGAGAGCTCATAACGGTTGTTTGTAAAGTTTGGAGTTTTAGTTTTATTGTTTCCTGAACCTTAACCCCTGCCCCCACAATTCCCTTTATAGACAGTTTGCAGGTCACTAGAGGTTGCCATTCAGCTGGGAGGCACAATTCCTCTAGAACACTGGTTTGCAGGGGAGGAGGAGACCTGGACGATCTCTAGAGAAACTTTTCGCCGTCACGAGACGAGAACGGGCATACCAGGACCGAGATGCTGCCACACACCTTATCCAACAAAGAGTGATGTGATTCAAAATGTGCACAACACCAAGATAACAAGTCCAAGGCAATGCAATGTCCTGCTTCTGCACAAAAACTGAGTTTTTTCTCCATCATGTGTAGCAATCCTCCACTTGGACATGATGGGTGGGCGTGGCCACAGTCAGCATCCACTAAATATTTGATGGACAAGTCTTACAGAGGACAGGGCTCTTTCAACTGTTCTCCCTCTGTAGGGTAGGTTCTCCAGGCTAGGGCAATTATTATTTTTTAAATCACTCAAGGTCATAACATAATTCAGAGGGATGGTGCCTCACCCTGGATACCCTCAGTCCCTACAACCTGCCAGTACTCCTGGCTTTTGTTCAGTTCCCCTCCTTTTGGGCTCCCAGGGCCTCCCTTAATCTAAAAAGATAATTCCGAGATCAGAGAATTGAAGGTGGATGTCGATTGATCCATATAACTTCGGTTAAACTGATCTAGTCTAAATTTGAATTCTATTCACGTCCTGTCAGTTCCCACATGGGATGGGGTTTGGAGAGACCCTGGGCGGGGTTGGGGGCTGGAAATGTGGAGTTTAGAGGTGGATAGTTTAGGGAAGCCTTGTGACCAGGCCCTGAGCACAGGGATGACTGTGTATACCAAACTGAGCATGGGGGACCAGAGCAGAAAGGCCCAAAAGATACAGTGTCCAGTGGTTTGGGTGACTAGGGCTCCTTTCCCTATTTCTGAACACACCAGTGCGGTGGTATTTTGTTTCCGCTTTAACAAATAAAGCTTGCCTGAAGATCAGAGTGTGGAGCTAGCTCCACTAGTCAGTCAAAGAAGCCAGGCAGCGGTGGCACAGACCTTTAATCCCAGCACTAGGAAGACAGCGGCAGGCGGATCTCTGTAATTCAAGCCCACCCTGGGCTACACGAAACTGTTCAGTCTCAAAGAGAAACAGAATCAGGTGGGTGAAGGCTCACACCTTTAACCCTAGTACTTGGGAGTCCTACGCCTTTAATCCCAACACTAGGGAGGAGGAGACAAATGGCTGGGTGGAGAGACGAATATGAGGCAGGAGGAGACAAGAGATCAAGGCATTCAGTCTGAGCATTCAGTCTGAGGGCTCAGTAGAGGTAAGAACTCCTGGCTGGCTACTCTGCTTCTCTGATCTTTCATCATTAACCCCCTCTAATTGACTCCAGGTTTTTTATCATTAAGACCAATTAGAAATTGCACTGCACGTCAATTCCACGTGTTCTTAGCTCACCTGTCCAGGCCCATCGTATTTGCACACTGTAGACTTCGTGGAGCAGTTTCCAAAGTTTGTTTGGCAGGGGTCTACCGGAAGACACACTTGGCCATCCCCGTGGTAGCCTTTCTGGCATGAGCAATGGTGCTGATTTGGACCCAGGTAGGTACAACTCGCGTGAGGGTGGCAGACGCTCTTTAAACACGGGTTGATGGCTTGAGAGACAAGACAACGAGAGGTGGAGAGTTAGCGCTCTCAGTGGCGGAGGAGAGAGAGATGCGCCGCCAGGGAATGGTGGCTCAAATGTGTCCTAGGCACAAAGGCAATTGGGCGGTGTTCAGGAGGAAATGCCGCCTTCCGTCCCATTCGACCACCCCGCTCCACCAAACAGATCACACGGGAACATCAGGGACTGTAACCGTGAATGCCGTGCTGACGTCATCTCTACGTGGGCTTGGTTACAGAAGCAGCGTCCGCCAAGCTTTGAAAACCACCAAGCTTTCGGCCCGATCTCTGTGTATTTCTCTCCGGACTACACAGAAACACAGAGTGGGCTCCTACTCACGCTTGCAGTGTTGGCCGTCGCCTTGGTAATTGGGAAGGCATTTGCATTTGAGTTTAGTTCCGTCTTGGCTGGAAGGTGAGCATCTGGAGTTCTCCGGGCAGAGCAGGGCCGCACACTCAGGGACGGCTGCGCAGGAAAGCGGTAGAAGCCCTCCCGTTAGTAGGATAAGGCGGTTTGTTTGCATGTTTGTTTTGGCACGGGACCTCTTGTGACTCAGGCTGGCGCAAACTTGCTATGTAGTCATATTTCTTTGAATTAGGGTCGCTCACTGAACTCGGAGCTAGGCTTGTAGCCAGGAAGCCCCAACTATTCTCCTGTCGTCCGTCGGGTCCCCCAGTGCTGGAGTTCTATGTGCACAAGCCACACCCAACTCTGAGCATTTGAAGTCAGGTTCTCAATGCTTACAAAGCGAGGTCTCTGACCCATGGAGTTGCCTCCCCAGCTCTGGGACTTACTTTTAACCCCAACAACCACTAACAAGGCGGCTGGGCAAAGATATTATGTCATGTAAAAAAATGTAGCGTAATCTATGGAATTATGAATGAACTCAGGCTAGCAGGTCTTACGGCATGGGTCAGGTGCGTGTTTCCACTCTCCTTGTTTCTGCCAACAATTTAAATAATCCCAAAGTACTCATGGCTTTGATATGGTGCCCTGGCACATGGCCTGAGGACCATTATGTTAAACCCTTGAAGTTTTTTTGCGTTTATTTCATATAGAAGTTGGCATTAACCAGTGTAGGATGTAGCAAAACTTATTCATCCAAGTTCCACATTTAGATTATTTCCAGCTTGTTTTTTCTTACAAATGCTATACCCTGGATTTATTGGTTCATGCATTCTTATCTACCCATTCTCAGAATCCCTCCTTCAAAGTAAACTCCTAAAAGTCTGGCCACATCACTCCTCCCCCAGCTGGCAGGGAGCCATACCTTCCCTGTCGTCCCTCTCTGCACACAGATGGTCATAATCCATGTGCAAACTGAGCAACAGAATGGACAAGAAATCAAAACTGAACAACAGCCCGCTCCAGAGTGGTCATCCGACTTCAGTCTGGCTTTACGTGTGGGCGTAGTTACTTGTGGGCCTCTCACCCTGTGGTTATTGCTGTTCTGTGCATTAGCTGTGCCTGGGTCTATTTTTAAAACTCAGCCGTGGTCTTCACATTAGTAAAAGTGTACCTGCCGTGAGAATTGCAGACATTTTTTTTTTTTTTGCCCAGTCTCTTGTTTATCTTTTGATTCGACAAAAATTATCTTTCGCTTGGAAGTGAATTTGACAGTGTTCTTTCTTGGGAGGTTTTCTGGGAGGGCCATCTGCTCCTAGATCTACTGGGCCGTGGTGGGTGGGGCTTGGAAGGAGGCTGGTCGAGGTCATAGAGGGCCCGTGGGAATCGCTGGTTTGAAGGGCTGTCTCCTCTGCAGAGAAGACAAAGCCTGGTTCCCATATAGAATTCCAAACTTTTCTAACCTTTTTGTTCCATAGGAGACTAAAACTCAGATGATACGCTGACTGAGCCTAGTGTCACAGGCTAAATATTTGTTTATTTTTTTTTTAAAGAACATCTTGGCTTCCAATTCATCCTGTGTAAGCTGCTTTGCTATAGGGCTATATAGTAGTCCTGGGATGGGATGTCTAAGGCGGGGTGAAAGGATTTCGCCTTTCTAGAGAGAATTAAGTTTTGCCAGTAGAGGGCGCTGGCGCGATAGTGTAGCAGGCAGGCATAGCTCTGGGACGCGGGGCAAAGGCTTCAGTGTGGCGCCTCTGTCCTATTCGCCCCTGCTGCAGCTAACAGGCCTCAGTGGGATGTCTGCCCAGGCGGTGCTCCCAGAACGCACCCTCCCTCCTTAATGCTACATCCTTGGCATAGACCCAGAGCTCACTCTCCCACACCCCTCCCCAAGGAGACGCTGAACACTCTAGGTGAACCTGTCCCCTGCACCCTGGCTCACCAACCTCTCTCACCAGGTCTCTAGAGGGCTGCGTGTAACTGTCAGGAGACTGTGGACCAATGCTGACCTGGGCAAAACAGCCAATTTCTCTGCCTTCCGTGTCTGCCGTCCTACCGTGTCTGACAAGGCGCGAGGATGGCCGCCTCCTTCCAGATCCTTCTCTAGGACCCAGGCGCCCTAGAGTTCTCTGCGGTTTCTTCCGTCAGCGTCCTGGTCTCCCACCATCTCCCCTTGTTTATCTCTCCCCTGTTCTTCATCTTCTACCTGGACCCAGCGTCATAGACTGCTTAAATAATTTCCCATGGATCCCAGCGCTTTGAACTCCCACGCTATCTGCCATTCTGGTGCCCTTGGGTAAGTCACATAGAAAACGGTTCTGTTGCCTGTGGCTGTTCATGTGTTTCTGTAACTGAGA